AGCTATTCCCCCTCCCTCATACTCACTCATGGTTTCTGTCCCAGTTAAGGAAACAAAACTGATGATTAGTCTCTTCTCAATAAGAATTAGAGGAAGCATAGTTGATCGCTTTTCCTGGGCCCCAGTGTCATTTTGACGTGCTCCACCTACCTTCCCTAATTACCTGCCGTAGATAAGCAAACTTATCTAGTGACCTGGCAGAGAGAAAAGGTTGGAATTTGAAATCCCTCACCCTTAAGACAAATACCTGCCGTGTGACCTTCCGCAAAGCACTTAACGGTTCCAAATTTCAGTTTCTTCATCAGTAAAAGGAGATAAACACCTAGCTAAGAAAGACGTTCCAAAAGATCAGATATAATGTAAGTAATGAGTCTCATTAGCAGAAGGCCTGGGACTTGAACCCTCCCCAGTCTGAAGGACCTGCCAGCAAATCAGAGCCCCCAGCTCTGAGTTTTCAGCTGTTAGCTCTTCTCCCCTGCTCCTCACTTCCCTCCCTCCCTCCGTCATCAGTGAATGGATGGATACATTTTTCAGGATTTGAATCATTTCCTTCTTGCTCACTGAAATTGTGGCCCACGTGGGATTTTACTGCCTGAAACAGAGGACCCTGCACATCCAAATAATGACCAGATGTGCTCCTGTCCAGCATAAAGACTTGGCCTTGGTTCTCATTTCAGTCACTGAAGCTGGGCTCAGGTTGCAGGATTCCATTCTTCCTGGAAAGATACCCTTACCTGTGGGTCCTCCAGGTAGAGCCCTGAATGCCCAGGCAAGTCCCATTTCAGCTGTGCTTCCGCCACCTGGAAGCCTTTTATTCTCTCTCTTTTTTAAAAAAGATTTATTTATGCATATAAGAGCTGGGGTACAGGCCAGAGGTGCAGGAGGGTGAGAGGATTCACCAGAGACTGAGCAGGGAACCGAAGAGGCAGACTGACTGAAATACACTGCTGAGGGGAGCAGCGGGCGAGACAGGAGAGGTCTGCCTCGCCATGTGGGTTTCTCTCTGGCCGGCCGGGGATTGAACTCATGCCGCAGAGGCTGCGTATAGCTTCATAGTGCGGTGCTTAACCCCTTGCGCCACCAGGGAGGCCCCATTTTATTCTCTTAAGCTGCCCTTTCTTGCAGGTCCTCCAGGAGGTCTTTCCAACAGACCTACCACACAGGGATTTCCATTTCTCTGGACACTTACTGGCCTTTAGTGAACTGAGTAGGCTGCCAAGGGTGTCACATATTTTCATGAATCTCCAGAAAGGCTCCTTTGCCTTCTCTCACAGCATCTTGCGCAGGGCCAGGCCCCTGACGAAGGCTCAAGAAACGTGTGCTGCATCATTGATGACTCTAGTTCAGGTTCCAGATAGTTCTGGAGGTTCTTAAGTGGATGCCAACCATACTGTTAATAGGCTTACCCGCAGCATATGCTTTCAGTTCCCTAGTTGTTCGAGCTCTTGAGAAATTTTAACTTTTTTGGGACAATTTCCCCAGAATAATGACGTTTCACTAAATAATATGCCATCGTTTCAGTATTACACTCTCAGGCAAAGCACATTGACCAATTTCCTCATCCTAAGAGTTTGTATTCAAAGAACATAGAATGGGACGATTTCGAGCTGCGCGTTAAGTGTGGATGAGTGTTTTGCTTTGGGTCATGGATGGGGGTGGTGGTGGGGGTGAGGAGGCAGCATTTTCTCCGGATTAGTCCAGGGATCAGTAAGCTTTCTCAGGAAAGGGCCAGAGAGTAAAGCTTTCAAGCTTCACAGGCTGCAATGTTGTGTCATAAAACTCCTCAGCTCGGAGCTTGGAGCAGGCAAGCAATCATAACCAAAACGTGAATGAAGGGCCATGACTTTGAGCCATCGAACTTTATGTGCAAAACAGACGGTGAGCAAGAGCTGGCCCGCGGGCCTCAGTTTGCCGACTGTAGGGTAAAGTAAAAAAGTATCAGGCTTTTCTGCCTCTCGCCATTAGGATTGATGATGGCTCTGCGGTCCCCCCAAAAGTTGAAAAATGAATACAAAAATGGCACAAAATGAAAACTGTGCCTTATAACAAATAAATCACCAGAACCTTTTCTTCTACTAATCCCTGCCCACTCTCGCACCTGCCTTTATTCTTTTTGGTGAGTAAATAAACTGTCACTGCATTACATTCTGTGAACAATCTATTTTCAACATCTTGAACGTTGTTTATTACTTTTGTCAACTTGTTTTCGTTGCTCAGTTAATCCATTTTTCAGTGTTTGCGTGTCTTAATTTGAGATGGGATGCATCATACAGTCAATGGAAGGACTGTGCTTTGTTTCATACTTTTTCACTTAGCGCTTGAGTGTTCAGGAATAAACCCCTGGTGTTCAGTGCCGCACCGGCGCGTCAGGGTAAGCCCCGCTAGCCCTTACCTGGGGGGAATGGCCAGTCCCCGGCGTGGGGAAGGCTGCCCAGCTGGCACCCCACGACCTCCATTTCACTTCAGCCTGGAACTGGAAAAAGGTGCAGAGACTTGAAGGAAGGAGGAGGGGGGAAGCAGTGGGTCCTGGGGTCCCGCTGCGTGGATGCCCTCTCCCCTATGCGTGGGGAGACTGGTCAAGCTGCGCTGCAAGGCAGTGACCCCCCTCGCCATCCTTCTGTTTCCTGGATTTCCTATACCCCCCCCACCCCCGGGTGGTCCTTGGGTCCCAGTGTTCTCATTTGCAAAGCAGATGAAAGTATCTTTGCTATCAAGCAGGTGGGCTTGTGGTGAGATGGCAGTGGGGCAGGGCAGTGCAGTGGCCATGGGAAGTATCATCATTTGAGCATCTAGAAGGACTTGGGAGATGGAAAGCCCCCCAGACACTGGTGTCTGAGGTTCCTGAAGCCCCTTTTTAAGAGCAAGTGGCTAGGGCTAACTTGCATGATTTTCATTGCTCTTAATTTTCCCTTCATCGTTAAGGGCCAGGAACTGGAGGGGCTGGGGCTGAGCGTTGAACTTGATAGATGTGATTTCTGATCTCATGCAGCTCAGATAAGAAATGCTATGGCGTCAAGCCCGTAAACTCTTGGGAGAATCCCATCCTAAGAGCCAGGGCCTGCTAGGACGTGCTATGGAAGAACAACAAAAAATGAATGTCCACAGGCAGTGAACATGCAATATCTACAGGTTATAATGATGTCATAGCCAGTACAAAGGCTTAAGGTTCTTCTGATTTGGGAGTAACATGAAATCAGCAGAAAATAAGGTAGGATGTTACAGAGTAAGTCTAAAACCTTGGGAGATGCCCAAGGCAACTTGGGAAGAAATCTCAAGGGTCTAAAGCCTGACCAGGACTAACTAGCCAGACAGGATTGTGAGTTCGTGACCATGTTCTACTGGGCTCGCCAGCTTCTGATGAGCTCTGGTGTGTCCATCTCCCCCCGCCACCCCACGGCCATGTGTTTTGTATGAGAAAAGTGCTTTACTGGCTTCTAAAGGTGCATAAACCCTCCACCCGACCCCACTCCCACTGTCCTGTGGCCTCCAGAAAAGCAAAGACAGGGACATAGTCATTGTGTTGTCAATTAATGACATTTATATCATTGGATGATAAAATCTATATCATTTTGTCAGGGGGAAAGGATGTCCTGAGCTAATCCCATGCAGGCTTTGTGGACCCCACCCCCACCCCAGACCAAAGCCATCAAGACATCGGGAAAGACAAATCCCGTCACCACCAAAGGGAAGGTGGCTGGGACCTGAGGGTGGAGTTGGGCAGCCAGGTTGGGTATAAAAACCAAACACGTGGGCCTTGGGCTGGCTGGCTCGCTGTCGCTCGCCTCCTGGCTTCACGGCTCCTGGCTCGCGGCCAGCTCTCAGAGAGCCATTTGGGGTTCCAGATCGGCGGATCGGGTAGGACGCATTTAAAACTTTGTCTCCCACTTTTCTCCCCGAGCCGTGCATTTCCTCATTTCCCCTTCCCTTGTAAATAAACCTTTTATGAACCTCTCGCGTGTGCCTGCAGTAGAGCATGGAGAAGTCCTTTTAAGCGCGCGGGTGAGGACCCACAGTCAGGCACCCCGTTTTGTATCGGGGCTGCCCTGTAACAATTTCAGTAACATTGGACTGTGGTCCTGCTCCATGACGAAAGCTGATTTTCACAATTGAAATTGTTATCCAAGAAACCAAAGACCAAGTCACGAACCAGTCCTTCGAGTGCCACCAATTGCCCTTTAATTCCTCCTGGGGAATCTGCCCGGACGCCTCACGGCCACATGACCACGTGCGGAGCAGAGGCTGCCGCGGCGGGCCCGGAGCGCAGCGGACGCGGGCACACCTGCCCTCAGAACACGCCGGGGCAGCATCTCAGACCATCTCTTTTGTGGTTGCTCGTAAGCTTAATTCGAACACTTGCCCATCTTTTGTACAATTCTTAGCACCACGAGAGGAAATGCTTTTTTTTTTCCTTGAAAAAGAAGTTCCAATCCAAACCATCAGCCTCTGTAGGTTGTCTTAATTGCTACTTTGCACTGCGCCCGGCTCTGCCTTTTGGCTCACGCTGCCGTACACAAAGTTCCTAAAATAAAATGCTCCAGGATATCCCAGGGACTCTTAGAAGGCTTTAAAAAGGGACTCGCAGACTGCAAGAACATCTTTGATGAAGACAATTCAGGCGAGCAGAACGATGATTGCAAAAGAATCCCGGGATTCATTGAGCTCTTGAAGTGAGTCTGGAGAGTCCCTGCCACCTCACTCATCACGGGGTGGGGGCGTTTGACGAGCATCCCGTTTTGATAAAGACAATTTCTTTTTCCTCCCCAAGTGACTATACATTTAAATAGCTAAAACATCTGTTCAGCAACGTAGTAAAACATGCACACGCGGAGCGCCTGACAGAAGAGCCTGCCAAACAATTGGTAGAGGGACTTTGCTGGGGGAGAGACCAAGATAAAGCGACCGCTGTTTGTTTTGTCTGGTCAGGGGGAAAGCCAAGGCAATCAATATTTTCAGTTTCTTTTATTTCATTTGTGAGGAATCATTTGAGAAAGGGAGCGAGGGGAGATTTCCGGAAGGGACTTTGTTAGCTGTTGGTAGAAAAGCAAGAGAACCTTGGATGTCAACACCTAACAGACCCTTGAGACCAGCCCCCAAACCAGGAAAAGCAACTTTCTTCTCGAGTGGCCTCTCCGTCCCTCCCGATGGAAGCAGAAACGGGGAACAGCATGGAGACTGGAAAGACGGCCAACAGGGGCACGCGCATCGCCCTGGCTGTGTTCGTGGGGGGCACCCTGGTGCTGGGCACCATCCTCTTTCTCGGTAAGTGGGGCGCTGGAGGCCAGGGAACTGGGCTAGTGCAGTGGAATTTTCTTGTGCTTTCTTCTGGCAGACCTTGTCCAGAGGCAGGTGGGGGGCTGTTTATTTGTGTTAGCAGGTAATGCAGCCTTGGTTTTGATTAAATAGTCAAATAGAAAGAAGCCGTTTCTTTGGGAGGCTAAAAAAACATGCCCAAGCACCGAATGCATAGTCCGGAATGCAAAGTGGGTAGAAAGTGGCTTTGAGTGACTGGAGGATTCTTTTGCACTGGGCAATTTTTTTATGCATTGCATATAGCAATATGAGTGTTGATGAACTCATCGTCAGGCTTTTTCATTTAGTTGGCGAGGAGAGACTGCGTCGTGATCAGAACCTTGCTGGAATGTCTTTCCATCGGATTTTTGTGAATGCCTGCATGGCTCATGAAATGCAGCTCACAAAATACACACCGCTCTTTAAACCTGCAGCTTTGATGGTATTCAGTTGCTCTCAGATCCAGTGACTCTGATGGGATGAAATGACAAGTCTGCCTTTCTATTAGGTTTAAAAATTAATATGAAGGAAAACAGAGGTTTCCTTCCCCAGATTTGCAAGGCCTGGTGATTCAACTATTTCACTGACTCTCGGTGGGAATGAATGTACCTGGAGAATATGATGAGTAAAAGCATCCTCCAGTGAAAAGGAATAACACATCTTGGAAAGGGGGGGTGGTGGGTGGCCTCAAATTGTAGGCAGGTTGAGCCCTTGACTGTCACCCCTTTGAGTTTTTTCCCTACAGCTAATGAAATAGCCGAGACGATTTCATTAGCTTGAAAATGATGTAGGAGCAAGGAGATTCTAGGTGCAGTTTGAATCGTAGCCGCCTGGAAATGCTCCCTGTTGGCATGTGCGGGATGCACCAGGGCATGTTTATTTTGGCAGCGGAGAGCTGGTCATTAAACTTTAAAAGACGTATGGTTGTGTGGTCAAAAACTCTGCTGAAATGAGCAGACCGTCTTTCCATGTTTTCTGTGGCTGAAGATTTAGGAAATTAGATGGGTTGATTGCTTTATGGTACAGATCAATCTCCTACTCCTGCCACTGAATTTGTGGGTCGTGAAAATCGTGAAGATTCTCAGCACTTGCGACTGCGTCAAGTGTCCTACTCTGAAATTCAAAACTCGGGGGGAAATGATGAGGGCATGCCGAAGGACTACACGCTCTGTGGGAAGTTTCTACAAAGTTAGGCTCTTTGTGTTTTGTAAACACTTCCAACCTTCAACATCCAAATGTTTATAAAAATATGTACCTTTTTTTTTTTAAATGATGTTACTGCTGCTTGAAACCCTTTTGAAAGTCCACGTTATAATTACATTTTGAGACTAAGTCTAGTCATTGGAATATTCTCGATGGCAGTCCATCTTGGCTCTTTGAAAGATGATTCTCTGAAATGTTTAGAGCACAGTGAAATTCACCAAGTTGGGCAAGGCTGTTATGAGGAAGGAGGCCTGAGTGAAAGAGAGAACATAACTTTCTGGGGTATGGTCTGCCTGGCTCTCACCACCATTTTCAACTCCTTTGCTATTTGTTTTTTTTTTTTTTATATAGAGGCATGTTTTATTTGTTTGTTTATTTTTTTTTTTTTTTTTTTTGTTTATACATGCACTGGGTACAGTCAGAAGCGCGGGAGGGTGAGAGAATTCACCAGAGCCAGAGCGGGGAGCAGAGCAGGCAGAAGGACCGAAGTACACTGCTGAGGGGAGCAGCGGGCAGCAGGAGAGGTCTGCGCGCCATGCGGGACCCTCCTCCGGTGGCCGGGGAGCAGCCGGGGATCGAACCGGCGCTGCAGAGTCCGTGGGCAGCTTCGCAACCCAGCGCTCAACCGCTGCGCCACCGGGGAGGCCCAACTCCTTTGCTATTTGAAGTGTGGTCCTGGGCCAGCAGCATCAGGGTCCCAGGGGAGCCTCAGCTGCAGCCCAAACCTACTGATTCAGAGTCTGCATTTTCACCAGCGCTTCAGGTGATTCATTTGCAAATCAAAGTTGGAGAAACATTGCTTCAGCTGAGTCCATTTGTATATACTCCTTGAGGGAATTGGCTTTAGGATAAATGCACGTTCTAGGCTTATGTCAAATGCTGCTGCATGATTTCAGACTCTGTCCCTTCCCGCAGGCCCTTCCTTACTGCCCTGTCCCCTAGGCTCTACACCCACCTCGGCCCTGCACCTAGCGGAAGTCCTTGTCTGAAAATCTCCAGGGACCTGCCAGGCAGGTGCTCTTTGTGCTGATTTCAAAGAATCATCTCTCAAAGAGCCAAGATGGACTGCCATCGAGAATATTCCAATGAATAGAATTAGCCTCAAAACGTAATCCGGCAAAATTCTTGACTCTTCCAGGCTCTTCTGGGTTGACTTGTTGGTGTATTTTTCTGCCTGTCTCAAGTTCAGTCATATATCTGTAATAGCTAGTTCTCTCCTTACCTCTTCTTTGCATTTTAGGCTCTGGGGTAGTCTCTTTCCTAAATCGTAGTCCTACAGTAGGAATGGTTGCCACTGACATTGGTGTGGTCTCCATGATGCGAGAGCACTAGGATGAGGCATCAGGTGTAACTATATACCTATGACCAGTTTCTTATATTTTGGGGCGGGTACCCAAGCCCATCTAACCAGATTGATTTATTTACTTATTTTTAACTGTTTATTTTAAAGTGTCTCTCTTTCCTTTCCTCTTCTTCCCCACAGTCTGTTTCGCAAATGCAGTGGTTGGCAACATTTTTTTGTACAGGGCTAGAGAGCAAATATTTTCAGCTTTCTGGCTCACACTTTTGCAGCAGGAAAGCAACCATAGACAATATGTACACTATGACCTGGCTGGAGTCCCACAAATTTTGATTTATGGGCATTGAAATTTGACTTTTAGATAATTTCCTTGTGTCATGAAATAATGTTCTTTTGCTGTTTCACCCCCCCCACCCCAGCCATTAAAAGAAATAGTAAAAACTATTGTTAACTCAGAGGCCATATAGAAGTGGGCAGCGGACGGGACTGGGTCCCTGGGCTGCAGTTCCTGACCTCACAAATGGGCCCCCCCGTCTGTGGATGAGTCCACTGCATTCTAAGGTCATAGAGAAATCCTGAATGAGAAACCACGCTGCTCTTTAAGTTTGTTCAGAGTTCCTAACCAGTAAAAGGTAACATTTTCACTTTTTATACAAAAATAATTATTTTCTCTGTTGCGTTTGCTTCATTCACTTACACCTTCCCATTTCATGTTTCATTCACTTATACTTTCATATTATTTGTGCTTGTGGACGCTTAATTTGCAAGATTTTAAATAATAACCCCCCACGAATATAATGGTCTTCCTTGAGGGATTGGGTCTGTGTCCCAACTAATTTAATATAAACCTTCCCTTTACTCATCATCAGGTAAAGATACCTGATTTTCGTTCTGCTTCTTTAAGAAATTTTGAGTTAAGAATTATTTTCCGGGCCTCCCTGGTGGTATAAGGGGTTAAGATACAACCTATGAAGCTCTTTGCAGCCACTGCAGCATGAGTTTGATCCCCGGCCAGGGAGCTACCCACATGGCGCAGCAGACCTCTCCAGACTCACCCGCTGCTCCCCTCAGCAGTGTATTTCAGTCAGTCTGCCTGTTCTGTTCCCCACTCTGTCTCTGGTGAATCCTCTCACCCCCCACACCTCTGGCCTATACCCCAGCTCTTGTATGTGTAAATAAATAAATCTTAAAAAAAAGAATTATTTTCCATGGAAGACTAAGTTTTCAACCCCTTCATTACCTTAAAAAATAAAAGGCTAGGGGCCTCCCCGGAGGCGCACTGGGTTGAGCGCTGCACTGTGGAACTGTCCGCAGCCTCTGCAGCATGGGTTTGATTCCCGGCCAGCCAGGGAGATTCCCACATGGTGTGGCAGACCCCTCCTGTCTCGGCGACTCAGCAGTGTACTTCGGTCCTTCTGCCTGTTCTGCTCCCCGTTCTTTATCTGGCGAATTCTCTCACCCTCCCGTGCCCCTGGCCTATACCCCAGTTCTTGTATAAAAATACATAATAAATCTTAAAAAAAAGGCTAGTATCAAGAAGGTATTGTCCAGAACCATAAAAATATTGCTTATGATATAGATTATTTTTCTATTATAAAAAATAATGCATGGCTATTAATGAACACTTGGTAAACATGGAAATAGATCAAAAGAAGAATTTCCTCCATGGTTCCACCACCCAGCCATATTCATCAAAGTGATTCTACTAATCTTTATATTGTGGATGTCTATTTTTACTTAGTACTCTTTTTTTTTTTTAAAAAAGATTTATTTATTTATGCATACAAGAGCTGGGATACAGGCCAGAGATGGGGGGGGGGTGAGAGAATTCACCAGAGACACAGTGGGGAGCAGAACAGGCAGACTGACTGAAATACACTGCTGAGGGGAGCAGCAGGCGAGACAGGAGAGGTCTGTCTCGCCTTGTGGGTTGCTTCCTGGCCGGCTGGAGATGGAACGCGTGCTGCAGAGCTTGCGGATTGCTTCATAGTGCAGTGCTTAACCCCTTGCGCCACCAGGGAGGCCCTACGTAGCACTCTTAGAGAAATCAAAGCACACCTTTATGCTAAGATAGTTTTTTTTTGAAAAGAGGCCTGAGATGTTCCATTGGCAGTTTTCCTGAACCTATAATGTAGCATAGTAAAAAGGCTGTTTGGAGGAGGATGGCAGAGAAAAGAGCAAAGGAAAAGCAGAACTCCTCTGAGAATTTGGGTCAATAAATGATATCAAACACCACACTGGTGATTGACGTACAGGTCTTTCCTCTCTAGCAGAACTAGAGGTGCCACTTCCTTTCCGATCCTGCGTCTTGCTTGAGGATGCCCCAAAAGGCCTCGGCCCCCCTCACCTCCTGGCCTGTCCCTTTGTCTTGGCCAAGTCTCTAAACGATTCCTTATTTCTGCTCACAGAGAACAGCCATAATGTACCCTCCACCACTTTCTTGGCCACTGAAAGTATTTTTGAAATAAACTCACATCTGCTAGTGTCCAGGCGCAGCTGGAGGTTACAAGTAGGGCACCTTTCGCCCTCCTGCAGTCATCCGTTCAGATGATGTTGCCAGGCGGAGTGGGGAAGATGAAGGTGCTGGGGAAGATTCTTGCATCTCGTTGAGTTTTCGCTTTGGTGGAAATAGCGGGAAGCTTGGTTCATGGGCTGCCTATGTCTGGTAGCTAGGCGGGCCCGGTGGAGGAAGGCGTGTGAGGTAAGGGGGTAGGCCAATAACTGTCCTCCTGCTGGGTGACCAAGTTATAGTGACATGTGGCCTCTTTTTGCCCCACCTTCTCCCCCCCCCCCCCTTGGCTATATGTGTGTGGATGGTTTAGATGAGATCCAGACCTTTAGATACCACACACTGTAGCTTTCTCCTTCCGGCTGGATTTACTCCAAATGGCAGTTTGTAAGTTTCACATTTCCCACCTCTCATATAAGAAGGCACCTGTAGGTAGACCGTGAAATCATAAGACAGAAGCCACAGATAACCTCCTATGGAGGGCCTTGAGGCCTTAACTAGTTGTTATAGGACAGCCCCGATATTGAGCGGGTTGCCTGGCTGTGGGTCCTCACCCGCGTGCTTTAAAGGGACTTATGAATACTCCACTACAGGCACACACAAAAGGTTCATAAAAGGGTTATTTACAAGGGAAAAGGAAATAAGGAAAATGTACAACTCAGGGAGAAATTAGGGAAATAAAGTCTTTCATGCGTCCTACCCGATCCGCCGACCTGGAAACCCAAAGTCACTCTCCGAGCTGGCCGGACGCTGCGAGCTGGCGGGGAGCCAAAATGGGGGACCCCTCCAAAGCCCACATGTCTGGCTTTATACCCACCTGGCTGCTGAACCCCACCCGCAGGTCCCAGCCACCTTCCCTTGGGTGGTGATGGGATTTGATTTCCCAGTGTCTTTGGCTTGGGCCTGGGGTGGGAGTGGAGTCCACGAAGCTTGTATGGAATTAGCTTTAGGACAGCCTTTTCCCCCTAACAAGTCCCCCCTTTCACTTTTTTCACCTGGAGGCCTGGTTAAAACACAATTGCTGGGGGCCTCCCCGGTGGCGCAGCTGTTGATTGCTGGGTTGCGAAGCTGCCCGCAGCCACTGCGGCGCCTGTTCGATTCCCGGCTGCTCCCCGGCCACCAGAGGAGGGTCCCACATGGCGCGCAGACCTCTCCTGCCGCCCGCTGCTCCCCTCAGCAGTGTACCTTGGTCCTTCTGCCTGCTCTGCTCCCCGCTCTGGCTCTGGTGAATTCTCTCACTTCTGACTGTACCCAGTGCATGTATAAACAAAACAAAGAAAGAAAGAAAACATGCCTCTATAAAAAAAAATGTTACAAAAAACCCCCAAAAAACAACAAAACACAATGGCTGGGCCCCACCCTTAGATGGGGGGAGGGCTGGGCAGGGTTCAGTAATTTGCATTTCTCCCTAGCAGGTGCTGTTGCTGCTGCTGCTGGGCCACCCATGGCCCCTACTCTGAGCAGCTTTGATCTACTTATACCCCATTCTTGTGACACTACGAGAGAACCAAGTCTCACGGCAACCCAGAGTCCCACCGCCGTTATCTAGCCAGTGACCGGAGTCAGGATGTGCGCCACCTAGCCTACTGGAGTGTTGAGCTTCCTGTAAACACTGTGTTAGGGGGAAAAGGCTGTCCCAAAGCTAATTCCATACAGGCTTTGTGGACTCCACCCCCACCCCAGGTCAAAGTCAAAGACACTGGGAACTCCAAATCCCATCACCACCAAAGGGAAGGTGGCTGGGACCTGAGGGTGGGGTTAAGCAGCCAGGTGGATACAAAAGGCAGACACGTGGGCTTTGGGGATCCCCCATTTTGGCTCTCCACCAGCTCGCAGCATCCGGCCAGCTCGGAGAGTGACTTTGGGTTTCCAGGTCGGCGGATCGGGTAGGACGCATGAAAGACTTTATTTCCCTATTTTCTCCCTGAGTTGTACATTTTCCTTATTTCCTTTTCTCTTGTAAATAAACCTTTTATGAACCTTTTATGTGTGTCTGTAGTGGAGTATTCATAAGTCCCTTTAAAGCACGCGGGTGAGGACCCACAGCCAGGAACCCGTTTAATATCGGGGTTGCTCTATAACAACTGCAGTGGGCGACCTGACACCAAAACTTGGCACAGGCTGCTAAAGGGGGTTACCTGATGGTGCCCTACTACATGCCAATAATTGTTTTATTTTGGTCTGTTTTTTTCAGTGAGCCAAGGTTTCTTAAGTTTCCAAGCCAAACAGGAATACTGCCTGAAGCCAGAGTGCATCGAAGCTGGTAAGTCCTTTTTCCATCCTGTGTCAGGTTATAATTATGGTACCTCAGGGAGTGGAAGAAAAAACAGGTAGTATTTTTAGGGTTCTGTTTGCTTGAGGTTTACCAAGTACCAAATGCAATTTTGTTAAAATTTTCAGTTTACTTTCAAGTCTGGGTGTGAAGCAGTGGGGCCTACCTTTCCTGTTTCCTCACAAAAGCAGCTGTGCTATATTCCAAGTTCTGTGGTATCAGGAAGGGGTTCGGGAGGTGGAAAGGCCTCACTGGAGACCCTCCCTAGGGCCTCAGCGAGATGTGGAGTCCTTTTCTCTGAAGCAGGCTCTCTGAATCTTCTGGTCCGTGGGCCTGACCTGTCCATGTCTAAGCACCAGCCCTCTGTGAGCCCATCCTTCTCCGGCCCCAGCAGTGCCCTGGGATCCTTCCAGTCCATGTTGCAGGTCAGATTTTTCTTGAGGTGACTGGGCTGTGTGTCACTGGGTACCCGAAGGTGAAGATGTGTACTGAAAGTTGCCTCAGTTTTGCCGCAACTACTAGGTTCCCTCTGTTAATCAGTGTGAGGGCTGAGATTTGCAGGCCCAGTATCCCAGCACCCCACCCCATTCTTGGTCTCCTTCCTGGAAGAGTGAGGAAGATTTGGAAATTCCCAGACTCTTCCTTCTTGCCAGCGTGACCAGGGGTTTCTCCGGTGGGGAGAGTGGGGCCTGGAGTGGGCTGGGCTGCATGTGGGGCAAGCAGAGGGCAGGTTTAGACCTCACGTTCCTTGTACTTTTGCTGGGCTGGGCTCTTGTACATGTGTGAAATTTGGGATTTTTGACACAGGAGTAAAACGTACAGAATGACATTTAATAATGTCGCCTCCTGCCAGCTAGGGTGTTTGGCCTTGATATTCTGTTTTTAGTTTTCACTGTTGGTGAATGACTTGCTAGTGTTGAAGAAAGTACCTATTTTGCTGTTTCTATAGCAAAAGGTTCACCACGGATACAGTCTTCTGTAGCATAACGTGAGCCTCATTATACTCGGGGGTCTGTGGAAGGTGCAGAGCTGGGGGGTATGTGGTTGGAAAGTTCAGGAGACGGAAGTGCTTGACGGCTTTCTGGACCTTTTCTGAGCAGGTGCCAACCACTTCTGAAGTGCCTCCTCTCTATAACTCTCCCTCCTTCTCTTCTCCATCTCCTTCCTCATCTCTTTCAAGATCACAGCTTGAGGAAGACTGCAAAGAAGGAAAACCGGAAAGTGTATGCTAATGAGGGTGGGCAAGGGTTGATGGCTAGTGGCTTGAAGCCTGAGCTGGCGACTGACAGCACACAGGATCTGGGCCTAAATACATAATCATCCCAAGCCTCAGTTTCATCATCTGTAAAATGGGAATCTCAGTTTTTACTCATCATACCAGTTGTGAGAATAGAAGAAAATAATGATGGTGGGAGCAGGAACCCAGTTCCACAATGCTCCGCCCTTATCCCCACACCAGAGAGCAGCTGAACTTTCAGCTGGCAAAATGGGATGTGACCTCGATTTCTCTGATGGCAAAACTGTGCCTTAGGTGAGGCAGTTTTCAGCTTTGTTTACCCTGCTATGAAACTGTGCATCTAGCCCCATAGGATTTAGTAATGCTCTTGCTTCCGGAGTGTCACTCCAGGCTTTGCTGGAGGAATCATATCATCTGTAGTAGAAGTGTGGTGTTACTTTTCAAAAATCTGAAAATTTATGAGCTCAGAAACATATCTGGCCTCAAGAGTTTCAGTTGAGTGTCTGTGGGGTTGTTATAGCAAAGTTTATATGCATGCGGCCACAGTCAGCTATGGACATCCAGGATGCTCAGTTAAATTTGAATTGCAGATGTACAGTGACTCCTTTTTTTTCTGCACAAGTATGTCCCATGCAACAGTTGATACTTACACTCCGAAAGTAGTCATTTATATACAGTTGGAACTTCAACGCCCATCCTGTATTTTATGTGGAAACTGATTTATAGACCCTGCGCCTGACAACTGTTCTAAGAACTTTACACGTATTTGCTCATTTACTTCTCGTGAAGATCCAGCGGGGTACTGTCATTATTCCCATTTACAGGTGAGCAGACGAAGACACCGAGAAGTTAAGTAACCAGCCAGAGGTTTCATAGATACTATTCGGCGTGGCTGGGTTCGAGCCCAGGTAGTCTGGCTCCAGAGTCTGTGCTGATGCTATTCTGCCTGCAAAGTCTTAGCATAGTTGCTGAGTCAGAGGCAATGCTCAATATTATCAATATTAATGATTTTATTCTTCATTTGTTTATCACGACCACCCTCTCCCTGAAGTCCTGATTCATCTTAAGCAAAACAAAACAAAACAAAACAAAACAAAACACAGGCTGCTCTGTGCAGGTGCCCTCGCTTGTACTACAAAAGCAACTTGTTGGAGACGGCGTGATGATTGACTTTATACGCAAGGACTTGAGGGGAACCTGGCCTTCTACAGATTTCCTTCATCATCATAATCCTTTTATTAAATCAAGCCTCCCTGGGTTTGCTCCATGGCACTTAGTAGGGGTGCAGGCGTTTTAGTGTATCTTGACCATGGTGTCCCTTGCAATTCAAAGTGGCCTTATCCCCTGCAGGAGACGCAGCCCTGTGCCCGCTGTGAGTGATGAATGATGGACTGGGAGGCTGGCGCTGGCTCCCCGCTGGGCAGGCTTGCTTCCAGATGCCGTGTGCAGGATGCATTCCCCCTCTTTGCAGCAGGGCTGAGGTCAGGGCTGACCTTGCAGTTTTGCTAGGTACCTGCGAGGATACTGAGGAAAGGATACATGGTGGGGCGGAGGGGGGAGTTTGGGAAGGCAGCCAAAAGCTTTGTGCTTATGTGACTAAAAATGCCTGCAGGGTTTCCGGTGTGTGACTGTAAATATTGTGTGGAGTGAAGCTTGCCTGATCCTCGGCCCCAAGGTGTCACATAGCAGATTCCTCCTGTGGCTGCACAGCCAGAATAATGATAAATACAAACCGCAATGAAGATGTTGTGTGTCCTAGCATATTTGCATATTAATTATTATTGGTCAAATAGTAGCTGGCAGCAATGTTGTAATTGGAGACAATCGAGTTAGTTCTGAAAGGGAACGCTAAGAAGTCAATTTTAAATTTATCAAACTTCGAAACCAATTTTTTGCTTTTTTTTTGGTGGTGGGTTAAAATCGGTGGGAGTTTGAAATCCCATAGAAATTGGGACATTTGTAGATCATTCATTTCACCCAGGACAAAAAGCTGTTTGGAGTTTTCATAAAAAGTCCAGGCTAGAGAAAGAGCTAGTGTGGCTCTGAACCCTGGAGGAAGCACACAAGAAACCAAGTGGTGATAGGCGTGTCCAAATATATGCAGATTACACTCTTTTTTTTGGTCAATTCATTCATATTTAGCTGACAACTCATTGGATTCTCATTACTTCAAATAGAAATGTGTTCTGGCATTAATTAAAGGATGAAAATGACCCGGCATGTCATCCTTCCAATGTCATTAAAATATTGGCTGCCTTTAAAAAGAATCAGTTGGTGCACATCTTTGTGCTTGAGTGGCAGCCAGCGATTGTAGGACAGTTGGAAGAGAGCTGGAGCTCAGTATTAGGGATTTTGGAAGCTTCTCGGTTTGTAATGAGAGATTTCTTTTTTTAAAGCCCGGGGATACATATTTGGGAATGCACAAACACGCGCTGTGCACTGTCTTCAATATGTAATTGTGTGAGGGCTTATGAAGGCAGAAAAGTGTCACTCAGCCTAGCGTGTCTTCCCATTAACTTAATCTCAGTTCTGCTCTTAGACCTGAGTGAGGGAGCCCGCCCTGGGCCCCTTGTTTTCCATGCCCCACTTTGTCCTCCTCTGGCCATGCCGCTCTCCTAGCAAGGAGTCTGTGGGGCCAAGTCAACAGCTCTCTCCAGTATCCCCAAATTCCCTGCTGGAGGACCCCAAGCCATATTTGAGGGCCTATGTGGGTTGCTTCCAGGGGTTCATTTGTCAAGAAATCTCACCCAGCGTTTCCGATCTTGATGAAGGTATAGTACAAATATACCTTTTAAAAATAGCTTTTAAATATACCTTTTAAAAAAAGCTAAAAATAGCTTTTAATTACAAATAGCTTTTAAATATTTAGAGATGACATGCAGGCCTCTATTTCAGGTGGCCTTTGCTGGAGAACAAACCACTCCAAAGCTTAGAGGCCTGACACGAGAGCCATTTCCTATTTCACGGTTGTGTGGGTTCCACAGGGGCTTCCCTGCCGATGTTGCCTAGGCTCGTTCTTGTAGCTGCATTCAGCTGGAGGGTCGCCTGGCCCGAAAGGTCCAAGATGGACTCACATGTCTGTGATCCCCCCACTCCCAACAGATCCACGTGTACATGCCTGGCAGGCGGCGCTGGCTTGGTCCTCCTCCATGTGCCTTACCTCCTCCAGGAGGCTTCTTCAGAGGGTGGCGTCAAAGCTCCTTTCAGAGGGAGTTTACATGAAAAGTTCAAGGCCTCTTTAAGCCTAGCTTTGAAACTTGAGGTCTGTTCCTGTAAGTCACAAGGCAGCCCAGAGTGAAACCTTGATGAGAGACGAATGCTAGAGCCATCTTTTTTTTTTTTTAACCGGATATCCTCCTTTATTTTTTTATGAATTATTTTATTTTATATAATTCTTACATCATTTTTCATTTTTGCCTAATGTATGCATTTTCATTTGGGTTATATTCCCCATACAATTCCCACCCCCTTTTTCTGACCCTAATCCCTCTTCTCCTCCCCCACTGCCCACTGCAGTGTGTCTCTGGTCTATAGTTGCTTGTTGATTTTGATTTTCACTTTCTTATAGTCATTCATTTTCCTGGTCCCTTATTTAGGTTTTCTAAATTCCTGCTATGAGTGAGACCATCCGTTATTTTTCTTTTTCTTTCTGGCTTATTTTGCTGAGCATGATCCCTTCCAGCTCCATCCATGTTGCTGCAAATTGCATGTGTTTATCTTTTTTGAATGCTGAGTAATATTCCATGGTGTATATGTACCACATCTTCTTGATCCAGTCATCTATTTTTGGGCATTTGGGTTGTTTCCAAAGCTTAGCTATTGTAAACAGTGCTGCTATAAACATAGGGGTGCAGGTGCTCTTTGGAATTAATATTTCTGTGTCCTTTGGGTAAATACCTAGGAGTGGAATTGCTGGATCATATGAAAGCTCTATGTTTAGTAGGTCAAGAAATCTCCACACAGCTCTCCATAGTGGTTGGACCAGTTTGCACTCCCACCAGCAGTGCAGGAGAGTTCCTTTTTCTCCACATCCTCACCAACACTTGTTGTTGCTAGTTTTTTCAGTATGTGCCATTCTCACTGGTGTCAGATGGTATCTCATGGTAGTTTTGATTTGCATTTCCCTGATTACAAGTGATGTTGAACATTTTTTCATATGCCTGTTGGCCATTTGCATTTCCTCTTTGGAGAAGTTTCTTTTTAGCTCTTCTGCTCATTTTTTTGACTGGATTATTTTCTTTGTTTTTGTTGAGTCTCATCAGCTCTTTGCAGATTTTTGTGATCAGTCCTTTATCATTAGTGTTGGGTGCAAAAATGTTCTCCCAGTTGGTGGGGTTTCTCTTTGTTTTGGTTACTGTCTCTTTTGCTGTGCAGAAGCTCTTTAATTTGATGTAGTCCCAGCTGTTGATCTTTACCTTCACTATCACTGCTTTGGGTGATGTGTCTGTAAAGAGGGCTAGAGCCATCTTGTGGGAGCAAGAGAGGCATGGAAGAAAATGTCACATGCATCTTTGCGGACAATTCACCATGGGATTCATTTTGTATTCCAGTCCCATCCTCCACAGATGTTAGGGGTGGTCCTGTGAAAACCAATAACAATAATACCATGAAACTTTTACCCACTCGCTCTGAATCCAGTAATTTAATATGGTGAAGTTGACTCAGGGAGTCATTTGAGGGGAAATGTAAAAGCCAAGCCTTCGGAACTGGTTGATATGAAAAGTTGTTTAATTTGGAAAAGAACAGTACACAATGTTCAGTGTGTGTCATTAATCCTATGATTTTCTTTTGAAATAGCTGCTGCCATCTTGAGTAAAGTAAATCTATCTGTGAACCCTTGTGATAATTTCTTCCGATTCGCTTGTGATGGTTGGATAGACAAGAATCCAATTCCTGAAGATATGCCAAGCTACGGAGTTTATCCTTGGCTGAGACACAATGTCGACCTCAAGTTGAAGGGTAAGTTTCTACGGGGATGTGATGATGCACTCTAAGAGAGCAATATTTGACATGAACAAAATAGTTTTGGATTTGAAGCATGGCAGCTCACTTTTTAACTATGTGAAATTCATTTCCAAGATTTGTTAAAATGGAAGATTGGCAGTCGCGGGATTCTAGTCTCCCAGATCTCAACGCAAGCCTAGCATAGGTTATGTTTGCATTTGATAATAAGTTCTACTGCTGAAGGATGAAAAGCATTGGACTGAGTTTGGGAGCAAAGGAGCAGTTAGTAAAAGTTATGCTACATCAACATACGCACGTTTGTTGTGTTCCTCCTAAACTTCATCACTTGCTCATTGTGTCCTGGGTTTTCATGGCTTACAAAATGTACTTAACACCTAATCGTTTGTTGACGTCACAGTTGAGAACTCTGGATGACCTTGTCTTTGTCATATTGTTCCTGTTAACTTCTAATTTGGCTTTGGGAAGACTCTTTTCTCACAGGGCCTTTAGCAGCAAGCTCAAGCACACACATTCACATGCGCATGTCCTCCCTCTCTCCCTCCCAGATGTGGAAATGTCCTTATTAGAGGATCCTCTGTGTATGTCAGATCTAACTTTTATTCTGAGCTACTGGAAAAAGCCACTTCAGGAGGGAAGGGGGAACATTTCAAAGCCAAATAAGGTAACTGTGGCGAGAAGGCAAAAGTAATGTGTTTTTTTCCTTCTCTTTTTGATAGCTGTGAGATATAGCACCTACAGAGAAGTTCTGAGAAGTTACACCAGTCATTATTTTTCTTGTCTATTTCCATTTTTGCAAGATTTTGAGTACATGATAATTAAATATGTAGCAACTTAGAGATAGCAACTTATAGTATAACAAGTGAAAGGATTAGCAAAATAGTTAGATACATGTTGTCAGTTACAAGGAAAATTGTGCTTACATTTCACAACTAGATGCCCATCAGATGGATTGAGTGTTTCTACTAGGAGACCCAAACTTAGTTTTTCTAAGTCATCCATGAGAATTTGCAAGAATGTCGGGGCTTTCCCCTAACCCAGTGGGTGAATTTCCTGTGCCCTAGAACCATAAATAAGTCCTGGAGGAACGAATTTACTAATATTTATATTAACTCAGATTGGTCCTTCACTCACTGTTCCTGCCTATTTCTTGTTCCCTTCTCTGGCTTCTTTTCTTCCTGGGCAGATAGATGTACGTGCGGGCGTGTCCATACACACTTGCACACACCATCCTGGATAAGAAATACTGCATTTGCCAGGGAGATGCTCCTTTTACGTTAGCTGTAGCCAAAAGATTTCTATCTCCAGGGCATGAAGCAGTTACAATAATTCACAGAACTTTGTGGAGATGTCTTAATGGTAGAAATTAAAATCACCATTGATGTGTGCTCTTTGAGGAGAATACTGCTTTTGGACTCCTTCAAAATTCAGAGACATGAGGGTAATTGTTCAATAGCAGCATAGGGGGTGTTTCACTTGCTGCTTTGAAAAATGAAAATGTTATTTCCAGGCTCATTTGGGAAAACACAAAAGAGCAAAAATAATATGCAAAAAGTGAGGAGAAAGTCACCATTAACTATCCCTGGGAATAACTGGTAATAAAACAATGGAATATGTATATTTCCAGTTTTTTTCCATGCGTGGGTATGAATGCGTGGGTAACCTCATGCATAACCCATACATTAAAAAAATTAGCCTGTATGATGAGTTTTAAAGCAGGATACTCTGTAACCTGCTTTAAAAAACGATGTATTCCTCAAAGACGCAGATTATGTCAGTAGATGTCCTTTCTTATTAGTAACAGCACTAATAAATATCCATATATACACATCCCTATGTCCTTACCTAAATGCATCCTTAGGATAAATTCCCAGAAATGTAATTGCTGTGTTGAAAGAACATCCACAATTTAGTTTTGATGCATATAGCTAAATTGCTCTTTAGGGAATTATTTCTACATCTTTCTCTATTTTCTTGCTGTTTTAAGTGGTGGCTTTTCTCTCAATTGTTTTTTTGTGGTATAGAGGTCAGCAAACTATGGTTGTGGGCCCAATCTAGCCCACCATTTTTGTAAATAGAGTTTTATTGGAAGAAAGTCAGATGCATTCTGTTTCAGTAACTGTGCTACTTGAATAGTTGTTACAGAGACCGCACGGCCAGCAAAGCTGGATAAAGTTTGTCAAGCCCTGATGACTGGTGTAAAGCTTTGATGTTTCTATATTGAGTTTGATTAGAACTGTTTTATTAATCAATGTGGTTTTTTTGGTGGTTTCTTTAGGATTATTAGGCAGGTGGTCCTAAAATTAAGAAGTCATTATAATTTTGTCTCTCCCTTTACCTTTATTCCATTGGCTAGAACCTTCAGAGGAGTGCTGAGTGACAGCAATGGTAATGGGTATATTTTCTTATGCCTAGCTTGAGTAATAATGCCTCAATGTCCCCCCCCCATTTCTCTTTGCTTATAATAGGTATTCTTTATTGTGTTCTGGAAGCCTTAGTTTGCAAAAGGCGTTGCTCAAGAAAAATTTCCCTTTACAATCTATCAAGGGACTCCGATGGAGTCTTTTAATGTCTCTAGATTTTCCCATGCTGCACTTGTCATAATCTTGAAATGAACCCTATGAATGGCTTATTATTTTCTTTGGTGACACTGCCAGAATTGAATAAGCTAGTATTTGTTGCATACATTTGTGTCTATATTTGCCATTCATATTGGTCCATGGATTTCTGGGTGCCAGGTTTGTCCTATTCTGTGATCAAGATTGTGTTGGTCTCATGAAATGAAATGGGAGAACTCCCATTTATTTCTTTGCTCTGGTAAAGTCACAACCAAATAACATCAAGTTATTCCGTGACAAGCACTGTGAAGGATAAATTTGCAAAGTCATCATAGGGGTCTTCAAGTGCCAAGGAGAGCAAATGGTGGAGTAAGGTGTCTTTGTAAGATAGTATCATCGTGGTGCCTGCTGTATATGTTTGAAATATACAATATGTATTTATTCTTTTATTTAAATAATTGTTTTATTGAAGTAACGTTGGTTTCCAACATTATCTAAGTTTCAGGTGTTCAGCATTGTAATTCTGCATGCTCACCACCAAAAGTCTAGTTTCCATCCATCACCGTGCACTTGACCCTTTACCCATTTCACAAGGCCCTCACCCCCATCCCCTCCGGCGACCTTTCTGTGTCGAAGGGTTTGATTTTGTTTTGTTTGCTCCTTTGCTTTGTTTCCATATTTTCCACATGAGTGAAATCATACAGTATTTGTCTTTCTCTGTCTAACAAAATCTTTAAGTTTAAATTTTGAGGTCATTCAAACATACAGAAAGGTGCAAGAATAGCATAAGGTACCCCCTTAAGCCCTTTACCCAGATTCCTGATTGTTCTTTTGCTACATTTGCTCTATCTGTAAATCTACATTGTTTCATTATGTATATATCTGTACATATATAGATAGATAGAAGATGGTAGATATGGTAGATATGCAGATTTATATTTTTCTGAACTCTGCAAGTATTTACAGATGATTAGATATCCTTAAAGTATGTAGAGCTTTTCAAATACCATCTTTTTTTAAACATCAGATCTTCAGTTTATCTCTATTCTCTAATCTGTGTATCTACATATCTCTCATTCTACCTTCCTATCCATCAACCATCTGGGTAATGCAAGGTCATTGTAGAAGAGCTGTTTACGAATAACAGGAAGAAACATCAAATCCCACCATCTAGTGATAATTTTTTAAATGCAAATATACATATAAAATTATATATATATTTTATAAAGGACTATATAGTATATTCTATTTTCATAAACTGCTGTTTTCACTTGACATGTTAACATCTTTTTGTGTCAGTAAAAATAGATCTCTATTAGCATTTGCCATGACTGCTTTTGTATGGATATAATTTATTTAACTCTCGTGTCACCATTTAGGTTGTTTCCAGATTTTTCCTCATTGTCAACCACTTAGCACAGAGATAGATTTGAATCATCTGTGTCACTTTTGGCCAGTTATTTATCTCACCTATTCAGTTTTCTGATCTCTCAAATGGAGATAAGAAGACCCATTTCAAAGGGTTTGTGAGGACTGAAGGAGATGACCTATATAAATTCCCCAGTCCAGTAACTGGCATGTAGCAGGTCCTCAATAAATATTTGTCCTTCGTGATTCCTTTTTGTCTCAAAGACAGTTCTAAGGTTCATGAAGTAAAGTCTATCGAATACTTCAAGATTTATTCTGGTCTTTTGTAAATATCATGTGCTCTCACAAAAATATTGAATACCACCTAGATGTTTTTCCTCATCCTTGATAAAAAGAGAGAACATCCAAAAATAAAACCCAATGCTACCAATCAAAAGAAAACCATTTTCTTATGGCTGATAGAGAACACACAGATATGCCTGTCCAATTTGAGAAATAAAATGGATTTGACAGACCTGGCTGATGAAAAATTGCCCTCTATAGATGTCAGCAACCAGGCTTCATGAATTTTTTCTTGAAATGGTATATAAGACTCGACTCTCTACTTGGAAAATACAATTATTTCTTGTTTTCTCCAAGAAACAGGGTTAAAAAAATACTGAGTGTAGTGTAGTCACATGTTTGAATGCCTTAAAATTTCCTTCCTACAAAAGCTCTCAAATTTGTCTTTATGTGGCCATGAAGATGATACAGCACGCTTTGCTTCTGAGTGGCCAGATGAAAATTTTGCAAATGAGCACTTAGGAAACCTGAGGCCATGAGTGAGATAGAACACTCGTGTCAAGCAGAAGACAGATGACTGCAGGTAGGGCCAGCTCATCTCTATTATGGAAGAGCAGTCTTTGCCAATATTTTGTAAAGAGATGCAGTATATTATATTATGTTCAAGTGCAGACAGCAACAGCAAGAAAATAAGACGAAGTAGGGGCTGTGCATTAATGAGCAGAGAAAGCTGATTGCGATTCCTAGATAAGTGATTGATTTGTAAATACCTGGCTGAGATGCAAATGG